TTCTTATGTCTAGGTCTTTAATCCACTTCGAGTTGATTTTTGTGACTGGGTGAGGCAGTGATCTTTCATTTTTTTGCATGTAGCTTCCCCAAAAGTTAACCTTTTAAAGTTTACAGTTCAGGGCTTCCCTGGTGGCTGAGGGGTTAGGTCTTAGTGCTATGACCACTATTACCTGAATTTGAACTTTAGCAGGGAGCTGACCCACATATGGCACAGCAGACCTCTCCTGTCTCATCCTATGCTCTCCTTTGCAGTTGTTTCAGTAAATCCATCTGTTCTACTCCCTACGCTGTCTCTGGTGAATCCTCTCACCCCAGCACCTTTGGTCTGTACCCCAGTTCTACATAAAAATAAAATGAAAAAAAAAAAAGTATACAGCTAGTGGTTGTTGGTATAGTCTCAAAAGTTATTTAATCTTTACTAGGAATGTTTTACAATTTTATTTTACATCATTCTTCATTTTTGTACAATGTATACCTCTCCTCTCAGGTGTAGTCTCTGTAAAATTCCCAGCACTGGTTCATCTGTGCACCAGCATCATAGTGCTTTGTGCTCTTCCTTCCTGTTTTGACCCTTCTCTTCCCTCCTCCCCTGCAGAGTACCTCTGATTTATAGTTGCCTGTTGATTTTGTTTTTGTTGGTCCATTATTTGGTTCCCCTGCATTCCTCCTATAAGTGAAAACATCTGATATTTTTCTTTTTCGTCTGGCTTACTTCAGTGAGCATGATCCCTTCCAGCTCCATGTTGCTGCAAATGGCATGAATTTTATCTTTTTTGATTGTTGAATAACATCCCATTGTGTATTTATACCCCATCTTCTTGATATAGTCATCTATTTTTTTGGCATTTAGCTTATTTCCATATCTTGCCTTTTGTAAATAGTGCTGCAGTAAACATAAGGGTGCAGGTATCTTTTGAATTAATGTGTTTGTGTCCTTTGGGTAGGTCCTTATGAGTGGAATTGCTGGGTCATATAGTAGCTCTACTTTTGATAGTTTGAGGAACTCTCATACAGCTTTCCATTTACTATGTAATTTTAAAATATTTTCATCATCATCCCCTGCAAACTCCTTAACTATTAGCAGCCATTTATTCTCTTCTGCTACTTCCTACCTCCTGGCAACTGCTAATTATTTTTTTCTCTGTGTTTCCCTATTTTGGATATTTTATATAAAAGAAACCTTATAATATGTTGCCTTTAATATTTGATTTCTTTCATTTAAGCAAATACTTTCAGGGTTCATTCATGTTGCCGTGTCAGTGCTTTCTTTTTTCTTAAAGATTATTTATGCTTATAGAACTGGGGTACAGGCCAAAGGTGCGGGGCAGTGAGAGGATTCACCAGAGACAGAGTGCGGAGCAGAACAGGCAGATCGACACAGTACACTGCTGAGTTGAAAGACACATATACATTGTTTTGACTCATTTTTATAGTGTATACATGCAGAACTAAAGTACAGCTTTTCAGTAACTTGGGTCTGGCAGGTTGCTTTTTGTGAGTGACTGAAGATGGAAAGATTTCCACGAGCTTTAATTTGATTAGTAATTTTATTTTATGACACTAGTAAACACTGATAATAAAATGGATCAAAAAAGGTATGAGAAAGAAAAAATAAAAAGTACCATTTCAAAAAAATCTTTACAAAGTGATAATTATAATGAATATTTGAGGATGGCTTAATAGTAGTTTTTAACCCTAGTAAGATGCTAAGAGGAATGATTTGCAGTTTTGCCATCATTAACTTGTTGAAATGCTATAATATTCTAAGATTAAACAACCTTAAATAAAGATGATTGCCTGTTTTCCTGAGGAAAAGATGAAAACAAAAGTTCTTTATCCAGTTTGAATATATAAACTACAGGTATATATCTAACAACGTGTGTACATCATATATATGTTTTAATATGTTGCTTTATGGTATGTTTTAACATTTTATGATATTTAGTTTATATTATAGTAAAATGATTATTCTTGTAGTTTAAATTATGTATTATATTTTTAAAGGGCCATTCATACTTCTTTGTCACTGAATTTTGCCCTTTGACAGTTTTTGTTGGGTCATTGCATTTGATTTATAGAAGCTCTTATTAGGAGGAAATTGGTCCTTTGCCCTGAATTTTTGCCATGCCCCATTATCTCATTTGTGATTTGTTTACCTATAATAACTTGATGTTTAATTCCTATTTTAGATAACTTCTAAATAATTTTCCTAATTAAGATTAAAGTGAAATCTGAGTTTTTTAATACCAAAAAGATGAAAATTTAGGTGAGACATAAATTGAGAACAGTACTATATTAACAGTTACAGGGACTGTGAGTAATGCTTGAAATTTTGGAAATTTTTATTTAGGCCACATTGAGCATCTAAATTCAAATTTTTTTCTTTGATATAGATGTAGTGGTAATGAGATCTGAGTTGTTATATTGCTTCTTATTCTCTTAAACACAGGGTGAGCATGGACAATCATGTGCCAAAATGCTTGTGAACCGAGCGCTAGGACGTTGGAGGCAGCGCATGCTTCGAGCAGATAATACCAGTGCCATAGTAATCTGCATCTCTCCTGGAGTGGACAGTCAGGGAGATTTCACCAGTGAAGATGAACTCTATCTGAACCTGACTGATAGCCCTTCCTATAATAGTCAAGAAACCTGTGTGATGACTCCTTCTCCATGTTCTACACCACCAATCAAGGTATACAGTTACAATATCGACAGTTTCTTTGCATAAAGCTACCTGAAAACAATTCTAAGATTCTTTAGAAATAGAATGTAATAGAATTTTGGGCTTAATCTAAGTTTAAGAAAGTGATGGCTTGTTGTCATGTTGTAGCTTGTTGTTCGTGAGCTAACCTCACAACATCAGAGTAGCTGCTAATGCAAAGTGATTGATTAGATGTAACCCCTGAAGCAGTATTAATGCTTGGAACTTAATAATCCTTTTCTAGTATTATGAAGACTTCTAAAGGGTTCAGAGTTTGTAAAGTACTTTCTCATGTGCCTGTTTCATTTGAGCTTCATAACCCAAAAGGGTAAATAGTTTCAGATATTATTCCATTTTATAGATACTACTGGAAGTTAGAACAAAGTCATGAGCCATAGACCAGGATTAAAACTGGAACTTAGGTCAGACTTTAGAGCTGGTTGTCTTTTTAACATGGATAGGAAACATTCTTTATCCATGTTAATATTTTGTAAGTTTTAAGATATTTAAGATATAGATATGCTATGATACAAATGAATATAAATGGACCACTGTTCTTTTTATCTGATTTCATACCATTTTTTTCCTTCCTAGTAGTTAGTAATATTGATACTTATTTTGATAAGTACCTGGGCCTTTGAGAATTTTTCAGAATACTGACCATTTAAATGAAAAATAAAGAGGAAATCTGTGTTATGTATTCAATTTTTGAAGATGTGAGAGTTACACAGTATGAAGAATTTAATTTTGGGTATTGTGACCCTTTACTCAGGAAATTTACTGTTTTTGCTTTGCTTTTTATCATTTCACATATACATGGCAATTTACTATTCTTTACATGAACTCTTCACTTAGAAATTGACAAAATTAATTTTTGTACTGATTTTCTTAAAAGAATTTCTTGTCAAAGCTATCTTTTCTTTGAAAACACTTGAATAATAATAGTACAGTTCAAAACTTTTTAAAGTCTTTGTACTCTTTTTGGAAAGCTATGAAGGCACGTATGTTCACTTGCATTATGCCTATATTTTAGGGAATAGGATATTGAAACAGAAATGAACTTAACATTGATTTCAAATAATTATTGCAGTCTGCTTATTCACATTAGTAAAATTGTATAAGTTGCACATAAACTATGTCTAAATATTGTTTCTAAAATTCTGAGAAATAATCACCTGATACTATGTCTATAATAAAGATAAGGGGGAGGTTACAGTGGTTTTCTTTTTTTTGCTAACCATTGGCCCCACCCAAAACAGGAAAATATTTAGAGCCATTCAGAATGATTAGAATTGTTGGCTCTCACCTAATTACTAAAAAGGGGCAAATTTCTGCCCAAAAGAGTGTTTTGTCTTATTTTAACTGACTTTAAAAAGTGTCTGATTTATTTCACTCTAATAATAATTCTGTTTAGTAATATCTAGAGAAATAGACATTTGGTTAATTTTGAATGGTTTTTAACACATTTAGAAGACATTTGAAGCTAGGCTTATAACTGTGAAAATGACTGAATCCTAACGTAAATCAATAATCAGATCTTTGGTTTTTAGATGAATATGATAGAAGTAGTCTCCATTTAGGTCAGTTTGTGATCACACACCTTGCTTCTTTCCCTGTCTTTTCTTTAGGAAAAAGTTAAATTTAGCTTTTTGTTGTTTTGCAAGCTAACAACTATATAAAGGCAGACTGAGGAAGTAAATTCTAGGCACAATTTGTAATTAGTTGTTTAATACTGGATTATAAGATGTAGGGAGTAAGTTGATCTCTAAAGTAGTGAAACTTTTTTAAAAGTATGTCTTTTTAGGAGGTAATCTCTCGATGTCACACACATTTTATGAACATGTAAGAAGGTTTAGCAGTACAAGTTATTAATCTGAGGTGGGTCTAAGAAGTCTAAGCCGTTGCCTGTGATAACAGATGCAGTATATTCCCACAGAATGCCAATATAAAGAGAAGAATTCAAGGAGAAAGTGGGGGAAGAAATGCCAGTGCACCTGTAGTGTCAGAATAATCTGAATTTAGAAGGACACAGCACAGCATAAATGACAATAAATTGAATTAATTCTGAAATTGTCCCTTTGTTTTTCTTTTATAAAGAAATTCCATGGTACATCTAATCTTGTGTTACATACTACAGTAATGTGTTCTGTTTTTATAAATAATTCAATACCTCTTTGCTTTGCTTTAAATTAGTGACATGATATTTTGATAACATGAAAATTTTTGTCTGTAGAACCTGGTCTTGGCTGCAAGTCCTTTTTCTGCATTAAAGGAATAACTCTTGGTTAACAATTACTTGTGACTAGGCAGTGTTTGCTGTGAATAGCCAAACATGCTTGTGACTAGGTTACAACCTAATACAGAGAAATAAACTTACAACTCCTGTTGATGTTATTGAAAGCCATATGTAAATGTTCTAGAATAAAGACTGTCCTGTTATCCTTTCTCAAAACTGATACTTTGAAATAAGGTTGCTGCCCAACATCTAGTCATACAAGAACTGGGCTGCAAGGGGTGAAAAGATTTAACAGAGACAGAGTGGGAACAGAACAGGCAAATCTACCAAAGTACACTGCTGAGGGAGGCAGTGGGAGGTTCAGGAGAGGTCTGCCATGCCATGTGGGTCACCTCCCTGGTCAGGAATGAAACTCATGCTTCAGTGGCTGCCTCTAGCTTCATAGTGCTGAGATTTAATCCCTTGTGCCACCAGGGAGGCCCAGTTTTGCTTTTCTTAAAAAACAGTGTCACATCATTTGGATATGGGTACAAAGCAACTGAATTTCATTTACACCATAGTTGCTTTAATGTTGCACTTCATATTTTTCACACTAAATATTCAGAAATTAGAATTTGTAAAGCAGGAAATAAATTTGTCACTTATCCTAAATAATTCAATTTCATTATTCTAATGAAACCCTAATTATTAAGCTGAATTCTAGGTTTAATTATTTCTTACTTGGTTTACCTTTTTTTTTTACCAGTCACTGGAGGAGGATCCGTGGTCAAGGCTGAGCTCCAAGGAACATATACCTGTCCTTGTTCGTAGTAACGGCTTCTCAGAGAATTATTTAGAAACCCAAAGCGAGATAGCACGAGGAAGTGTCCAGTCTGCAGTCATACCTGCAAAAGATCCAGAGCTGCTTGAAGAAAATTGTACTAAAGCCCTGACTTTAAGGGTACATGATTCTTTGAATAACAGCCTATCAGTTGGCCTTGTGCCTACCAATTCAACAAACACAATTATGGACCAAAAAAATTTAAAGATGTCAACTCCAGGTCAGATGAAAGCCCAAGAAGTTGAAAGAACCCCTCCTGCAAACTTTAAAAGGACATTAGAAGAATCCAACTCTGGCCCTCTTATGAAAAAACATAGACGAAATGGCGTAAGCCGAAGTGGCGGTGCACAGCCTGCAAGCCTCCCCACCACGGCCCAGCGAAAGAACTCTGTTAAACTTACCATGCGACGCAGACTTAGGGGTCAGAAGAAAATTGGAAATCCTTTACTTCAGCAGCACAGAAAAACTGTTTGTGTTTGCTGAAAGGTATCTGGAAAATGTTTTTCCCAAACTTGGAATGTAATAGGGCTTTTTAAAGTTGGTGCCGAAGTTGAACTTTTTTTAAGGGGACAAAATAAAAATAATATACAGTTTGACTTTTTGGAATTCAACAGTTTTTCTGGCCTTGTCCTTGCTTGTATTATAACTGTGAATTTTGTAGATGTTAGGGTGTAAGTTGCTGTAAGATGTGTGTAAATTTGTTTCCTTCACACAAACTCAGTCTCTTATTCTGACACAGTAAATGTAAAAATAGGGCTAAATGTTTAAAAAAGAAATCAAAAGAATCTATTAGATTTTAGAAATACATTTAGACTTTTTACAATGCTTAAGAAATTTGTATAAGTCACTTGTGATGCAAACTATACAACTTTTTAAAGTAAATTATTAAGCAAACTGGAAAAGTGATGTATTTTCATAGTGACCTGTGTTTCACTTAATGTTTCTTAGTAACTAGTCTCTTTTAAAAATTATTTTTTATTTCTAATTACATAATTCAGAACTAAATTTTTCACAGACACAAATGTGTTGAGCCATGCTAAAGTAGCTGGGTATTAGTCTTGTCCTAATTAAACTATTATGCATTATCTCTTTTTTCAGTGGCATTTTTATAAAACATTAATCATCAGATATATTCAGCAAATCTTTGGATTAGAAGGAGGTGTATTTGCCGAAAAGGATGCTCTTCTCAATCATCACAGACATTCAGTGGCATTATTAGGTCTTAAAGTAGTTACCTTCTTCTCGTGTTTGCATAAAATATGTGAAGTTTTTCTTGCTATTCAATAATGGATGGTGCTGCTAATTCCCAACATTTCTTAAATTATTTTATATATCGTATAGTTTTCATTGATTATATGGATATGTTTGCTCATCTAATAAATCAGTGAACTGTTCTGATGATGCTGGATTTTTTTGTTGTTTTGTTTGAATGATAAATACTGACTTTATTGTGCTATATCATGCTTTAGAGTAATAACTTAAAATATGTGTAATATTCATTTTTGCACTCTGACTTTTTAAATATTAATACAGAATACATCAAAACAGACTAAATATCCAGCAATAAAATTATGGTTATTTCAGCTGTGTTTTTTTAAAATGAAATATAACAATTAAAAATAATAATAAAAGATTATCCTTTGGTATTGTATGAAAAATCTAAAAAGATCTAATTCCAAAACACTAAAAATATGATGGTGTAGTAAATTGTTCTATAATATGAATTGTAATAAATTAAAAAAATAATTTAGAGTAAGTTCTCATTGATAAATTGAAGAAATAATTCATATCTTCAACATTGATTATGTCCCTACTGCATGCTTTGTACTGCATCATTAGAAACATATCAGTTTTTCATAAAGGGATCAGTTGAAATCAGGGGCCTGGGGATAATTTTTTGTGACTGGTTTTTAAGAAGGAATTTTGGATAATGAGATCTAAGATTCAGATACTGAAACTATTAGGCTCTTTCCAAATTTACGTACTGTAATAAGTTTCTTCATCTTGTAGGTTTTTAATACTATTCTATCTACACCAAACAAGTTCAACAGATCTGAATATATATTTCCTTTTTTAGTTTTTTTTCCTTTTTCTGCTGAGATTATGAAGAAAATAATTCTGTATCTACATGAAATTAAAATCTGGATAGTGGATTATGATTGGAGTATATTTCAAGTAATTTTTTTAAAAAGACTTATTTATCCATACAGAACTGGGGTACAGGCCAGAGATGTGGAGGGTGAGAGGATTCACCAGGAACAGAGTGGGGAGCAGAACAGGCAGACTGACGAAGTACACTGCTGAGGGGAGCAGCGGGCGGGTCAGGAGAGGTCTGCCACGCCATGTGGTCACCTCCGGGGCAGGCGGGAATCGAACTCATGCAGAAGTGGCTTAAGCCTCTCAGTGCAGTGCTTTAATCTGCTGCGCCACCAGGAAGGGCCTATTTCAAGTAATTTTTAAATATTTATTTGTACATACAGAACTGGGGTACAGGCCAGAGGCTCAGGGGCGGCGAGAGGCTTCACCAGAGACAGAGTGGGGAGCAGAACAGGCAAATCGACGAAGTACACTGCTGAGGGTCAGGAGAGGTCTGCCGCACCATGTGGTCACCTCCAGGGCAGGCAGGGCAGGTGGGAGTCGAACTCATCCAGAAGTGGCTTTAGCTTCTCAGTGCTGTGCTTTAACCTGCTTCGCCACCAGGTAGGGCCTATTTCAAGTAATTTTTTTTTTAAAGATTTATTTATTTGTACATACAGAACTGGGGTACAGGTCAGAGACTCAGGGGCAGTGAGAAATTTCACCAGAGACAGAGTGGGGAGCAGAACAGGCAGATCAACGAAGTACACTGCTGAGGGGAGCAGCGGGCGGGTCAGGAGGGGTCTGCCACGCCATGTGGTCACCTCCGGGGCAGGCGGGAATCGAACTCATGCGGAAGTGGCTTTAGCTTCTCAGTGCAGTGCTTTAACCCGCTGCGCCACCAGGGAGGGCCTCAAGTAATTTTTTAATATAAAAATGTCATAGAGTCTAGTACTGGAAAGAATTTTGGTTTCAAACTCAGCTGAAAATGCTTTTACCTCTTTTCCTGTCTGTGTTCCTAGGGCTGGGTTTAAGCCTATTCTTTAAGGAAATGTTATGTAACCATAAACTTTTTATTTAAATTTACTTGCCTTTATAATACATAGCTCTATAGTATGATGCATAATTGAAAATTAATGATGTAAAAATAGTACATAGGAAAAAAATCACCTCAATACCCAAGGCAGCCAACATTCTGCTTTCCCCTTTTTGTTGTGTATTCTTTCAGGGGATAATCTAGGCATAGTTAAAGAACTATACCTATGCTTAAAGATTTTCCCATATTGGGGTATCACAGAACCTCCTTATTCTAGTCTAGGAATGTGTTATTTATGCCATTCTTTAACCATGTCCACTGGGGAAAAAAAAACATTTCACCCTTTACTCACATTCACAGTACTTTTGAACCCAGGTGTGTGGGTTCAAAAGCAATTTTCCAATTTTCCAATTTCCAATTTTCCAAGCAATTTTCCAATTTCCACAGACACCAATTGCATGTCTTATGTTTCTATTCTGTTTGGACAACTCATCTGCAAGTTAAAGACTCGGTCTCACAAGACTTTCCAATACAAGCACCAGTCACAAATCCAGGTTGTCACAAACATTTATCGCTGACTGGCTATAAATTAGGGTTCCCACAGCCGCCTCAGATTTGATAATTTACTAAAGCAGCTTACAAAACTCAGGGAAACATGTTTACTGATTTACTATATAATAAAAGGTAGAACCTGAACAAGGAGGTGAAGAGATACATAGGACAAGGTCCAGAAGGCTCCTCAACAATCTCCACATGGTTGTGATGCAACCCCTGCCTGATATGGAGGGTTGTATGTTCACTAACCTGGGAACTCCATGGCACAAGTTCAGGGATTTTTATGGCGGCTCTACCATGTACCTCATGGTAATAAGAATATGGCTTACTGGGACTCCTTGGTGGCACAGGTTAATAACAGTGCTATCAAGCTATCGCCAGCCACTGAAATAGTTTGATCCCTGGCCAGGGAGCTGACCCACATGGCACAACAGACCTCTCCTTTCTTGCCCACTGATCCTTTCAGAAGTGTACTTCAGTTGATCTGTGTGTCTCTCCCATCTCTCCCATCTCTGGCCTGTGCCCCAGTCCTTGTATGCATAAATAAAAACAAATCTTAAAGAAGTTACAAGCTTTTGATACTGTTTCCTTCTACAACAGTACAATTATATGCAAAGTAATGGCATTTCAGTCAATTAACTGATCATAGATACTGTGGTGGTACCTATATGCCTTCTTAAGTATACAGTGGGCTATGCCACTAGCCCATTGTGTAAGAACACTCCCTCACCTGACCAAAGTCACCTAGCAGAATGTATCCTGTCATTAAATAAGGCAAGACACATCAATTATTTTAACACTTGAAGAAACCATTTCCTCTGACTTCCATGCTTTTGATTAAATCTGCAGTTGCTCAAGTTCTTTGTAAGTAATGCATTGTTTTCAGAATTCTTTCTTCCATTTTTAATTTCAGCAGTATGGCAAGGTGTGTTCATATTTATTTATTTATTTTTTTTGGAGTTTGCTAAGCATCTTGAATCTGTAGGCTTATGTCGAATCAAGTTTAGGAGATTTTCAGCTATTTTCCTTTTTATTTTTTTAAGATTTATTTATGAATACAAGAGCTGGGGTACAGGCCAGAGGTTTGGGGGTCAGAGGAGTCACCAGAGACAGAGTGGGGAGCAGAACAGGCAGAGGCACTGAATACACTGCTGAGGGGAGAAGAGGGTGAAATAGCACGTTGTGCCATGTAGTTCACCTCCCTGGCTGGGGATCGAACTTGTGCTGAGGTGATTGAAGCCAGCTTCTTAGTGCCACCAGGGAGGGCCCAGAATTTGGAATTCTAAAAAGTAGTTTTCAGCCCTTCCTGGTGGCACAACAGGTTAGGAACCACAGCCGCTTCAGTGTAAGTTCAATCCCCAGTCCTGGAAGTGATCCAAATGACGCAGCAGACCTCTCCTGTCTTGCCTGCTGCTCCCCTCAGCAGTGTACTGCGTTGATCTGCCTGTTCTGCTCCCCATGGTGTCTGGTGAGTCCTCCCACTGCCCCTGCACCTCTGGCCTTTACCCCCAGTTCTATATGCATAAAAAAATCTTTAAAATAAAAGTAGCTTTCAAGAGTGTTGCCTTAATGATGGCCAATGTGAGTTTATATGTATGTTTACTTCACAATTGAACTTTAGTAAAACATGATTCTTGAAGATTATTCTTTGTTTTCTTTTGCTTTCCTGTAATCAAAATATTAATGTTCATCACAGTTCTCTGTAAAAGCTGATAATTTCATAACTGCTTAAACCATGTGATACTTCTTCAAGTGTTTTTGGTAGCCAGGATGAGGCAATGATGTTCTGGAGGCTAAAAAAAGAATCCTAATCTTACCAAAACAAAAACATACAATAAAGTACAAACTGACCTAGAAATTGGGTTTGCATATGGATTATTCTCTGGCATTTCTCTGGGGACTTTTGTTTTTGACTGTAGGGTCATAGGAGAGGCAAGCTTAGTCATCAGTGATAGATCATAATGGAAGTATTGTAGCAACTGGAACAAAGAACTCTGGCTTGAAGTCACTCTTAGACTCAAAATAAATTTTCTAACTGGGATTGCTCAGTCATAAGCAGATTGTTGAAAAGTTTCTCCAAGTTATGATACTTTAGAATGGCTCATGAACACCTACAAGTTACTTCTATTCAAAAAAAGCATCCCCATAAATGTTGTATCTATCTGAAGGCTCATGAGAGACTCTCTCACCACCCTTGAGGCAATGAAAATGGAGTAATTAGAACAAGGTGGTTTGTACCTAGTAGTCTTAATTTGGGTACATTTCTAACTTATTCTAAGAACTTTATATTTATTTGCTCTGTGTAAAAATCTCATGAACATCATAAGATTCTACAATTGATAAAATATGCAAACAAGAGACAAGAAGTCACCTGTTTGGGTATAATTCTATAGCTAAAAAATGTTCAATGTCTATAAAAGTCATCACTCAATGTCAAATCACTAACATAGGTATCATGTTTGATTATTTTCTTCCACCTGTTCCACACATTAAATTATAAATTCTCTTAGGTTTCTCTTCCAAAATACTCTGAAATCACTACTTTTCACCTGTATTGCTCCAGGCCCAGTTTTAAACTTCACACTGAAGTGGCTGTGGCAAGCTTGCAGTGCTGGGCCCTAACCTGTTGCATCACCAGGGAGGGACCCTATGTTTACATGTTTAAAGCAGCTTCCTATCTGCTGTATAATAAATAAAGTGTTGTCATCAGAAGGGGGAAATAGTAGAAATGTTTCAGGGCAGGGAGAGGGGCACTGCTGAGCCCCCAAACCTGCCTGCTCTAAATAGGTTCGGCCATCTGTTGCATCAAGACAAAACATAAGACTTTAATGAAAAGGAACTTTAATACAGTGAGACAATATAATTTCTCAATCAGCACCTGAAGTTACCCATCCCTTCATGGGCAAAAGTTCACCCAAAAGGGATTGGTCGAAAGCAAGGCCTGAAAGCCGACCACAAGACTAAATAAAGCACCTTCTGGCCGGGACTCATAGAAAAGGGTAAGAAATGGCCAGACAAGTTTGGGAGGAAAAGAGCAAAATCAAAATCAAACCAAACACTGCCATAGTCAACCTCCCTACGTGTCTCTCACCCACATCTCTTTCAACCAGTCCAGGGCCAAGAAATCAACATGGTTTTTTCACATGTCTCCCTTTGCTCCATGTGGCTTCCTCAGGTCTCCTTCTGGCTCTCCATCCTGCTTCCTTCCTCCCCAGATTCCTTCTCTTCTCTTCTTTTCTCTGCTCAGCTCCACCCTCCTCCTTGGTGGGGAAGGGAACCTGGAACTTCCCCATTCCTCCGGACCAACCTGTTACAGAAGCAGTGTGCAATTTTAGTAGATAGGATGCAGCACTGCAAGCTAACCACAGCTGCTTCAATGTTAAGTTTGATCCCAGGCCCCGCCCGGTGGTGACTCACATGGTGCTGCAGACCTCTCATGTTGCCCGTTGCTCCCCTCAGCAGTATACATCATGGATCTTTCTACTCTACTCTCCACTTTGTCTCTGGTGAATCCTCTTTGTCTCTGCACCTCTGACCTGCACACCAATCTGTATGCTTAAATAAATAAATCTTTTATTAAAAAAGTAAACATAATTTGATACCTCTTAGCTAGGGAAAGAATGCCCTGAACAAACTCCACATGGTTTTTGCACTTCCAGACCAAAGCCACCAAGACACCTCTAACTATAAATCCCATCACCACTGAAAGGATTGCTGGGACCTGAGGGTGGAGTTAAGCCTTAGCCAGGTTTGGCATAAAATCAGACATGTGGGTCTCGGGGGGCTGGCTTGGCTTGTTGGCTTTTGGTCTCTTGGCCTCTTGGCTTGACACTTGGCTGTTCTCTTGCTCTCAGCATGCCATTGGGATTCCAGGGCAGTGGAACTGGTAGGATGCATTTACCAATTTCCTCCCCTCTTTTTCTTCCGGACTTACTCATTTCTTCATTTTCCTTTCTTTTTAAATAAACTCTTTTTGTGTGTGCCTGCAGTTGAGACTAGGCAACCCATTTCATTTTGGGGTTGCCCTGTAACATTTCCACCTTAGAATAAAATGGAAACTCTAAATATAGCCTTATATAGGCCTATAGTCCCCATCTGACTACTGCCTATTTCTCTGACCTAGTTTTGTTAGTTCACTTCACTTAAAACATAATGGTTTTTCTCACACTTATTCAAATTTAGTTTTATTCTTAAGTCTTTTTGCCTGTGTTCCTTTTGTCTGGACTGCTCAAAGTAGCTGTCTAATACACATCATTGAGACCTTCAAATACCATCTCCTGAGGGGCTTCCCTAGACTATGCAAAACAAGCCATTTCACACCTCTATTTTTTAAAAAAAGATTTATGTATGCATACACGAACTGGGGTAAAGGCTAGAGGTGTGGTGGGTGAGAGGATTTATAGAGACAGAGTGTAGTGCAGAACAGGCAGATTTATTGAAGTACACTGCTAAGGGAAGCAGCAGGCAAGTCAGGAGAGCTCTGCTGTTCCATGTGGGTCACTTCCCTGGCTAGGAATAGAACTCATGCTGCAGTGGTGTGGATAGCTTCATTGTGCTGGGCCTTAACACACCAGCCACCAGGGAGGGACTCCCTATTTTTTAAATAGAATTTCACATTACTCTATTTTTTGTTTGCGTATTTACTTCTGTTTTTCCACCAGAATGTAAATTATGTGGTTGAGGACAAGCACCTTGGTTGATTTGTTTATTGTTGTACCCCCAAATGTAGAATATGCCTGATACATAATAGATACTCATTATTTATTGAATGAGTCAACTTGTGGGAAAAGGCCTTATTTCCTTGTCTCTTTTATAGCTTTAGGGATAGTCAAAGAGTGATGGAGTTTATCAATGCATATCAAAAAGTGACTTAAATGGAAAAAACTTACACAAGTGCAGGTTGTTCCTTTGGTGAATATTTCCACTAGATCTCCTCTAGCTTTCATCTTTATTCCTGGGACTGGATGCCTGAGAATAATAATTCAAATAAAACTAAATTTTAAAATAGCTTGTTCTGTTTAGGGTTATTAGATGCCTTGGAGTTTGTCTAATTGGGGTTATGAGACATGCACAGGAGAAACACACAAAAACCATTTCAAAGATAACAAAGAAGTAAACCAGTGATAATATTAAGACCAAGAAAAAAAAATCAGAATAATGAATACATTCCTTCTTCGGTTGATTTACATAGGATGCAAAGCTTAAAAGTGACAGGAATTTGGAGTGGAAGATCGGTGTTAAATAATGTTTTACTAGCCAACATTCAAATATTAGACCGATTAATAGCACGTTGGGTGTCTCATTTATTGGCATTGATAGAATGTCAAGGGCAAATGGGTGGCGTCTTAACTCTTGTCTCTGACGTGCTATCTTACCTACTTCAAGTCTTCTGCATATTTCTGGCGGGGGTTATTCCTCTAATTAGTTTCTCCTTTCACAGCGTTAAAAACGTCTTGAGATTTCTTTTACTGTTACAAACCCTACGCCTATTAGTAAGCCATATTCTTACGGGATTGTCGTACTAGACAATGCTGATGAAATGGTTAGGCGTGTGCTGAGCATTCGTTCAATCAATATCGTTACTACAAAATAAATGTAACTGACAAGAAAATGACGATATCGCGGTCTCCTTCACCTCGTAGTCTGAAAACAGGTATAGGAGTAGAGAGGGGCGGCCCACAAACCTAGCTCAAACTGACAAGCTTACGGACCGCGCACGGTATTTAAAGTCGGCTTGGCTCCAAGCTACCCACCAGCACAAGTCAGGCTAGATTCCCGGAAGGTAAACATATTACCAGGGGGCGGGGCAGAAGGCGGGTTCGGCCTGGATGAGTGGCCAGTTAAGAGTGATTGGCAGCTGCCATGTCCACGTGCTTTGAGCTTCGAACCAGCTGTCGCGAGAATTCGATGTAAACAGATCAGTCCCCCCCCCTCCCCCCCAGTCTTCGGACTTCCAACCTGAGACGCTCAGGTGAGGTGGGCAGGAGTTTGGTGTACGGTAATTTTTGACAAAGTCAAGCAGATTTTGTCTGCAGAGGAAAATAAACATGTCCGAAACTCCTCCCCACCTGCTTGCGTTCGCAACCGAACGTGACATCTTCGCTTCACCCGAACTTACATACTGTTGTGTTTTCCCTCGAGCTTGAGTGGATTGGCTAAACACAGGAGGCGGGTCCGCCTCTTTTCTACTTGCTGGTTGGCGAAGCTGGCTTCCAAGGGCGGTGCCCTGTCGGAGCCAGCTGGCCTCTGGGATTGGCTAGAAAGGTAGTTCCGCTGAGGCGTGGTAGGAAGTGGTAGCTGTCAATCACGAGGGGAGACTCCAAACAGTGAGCCTGGATCTGGAGAACAGCGTTTACCGGCGGGGCGGCCGGTGAGAGGACTCTTGGGGCTCTGGCTTTGGGGAGGCTTGGAAAGGACAAGGGGCAAGCAGCGTGAGGGGAGAGGGCTTGGCTGGCAGAAATTCGACGTGGGAGAGGAGTTGAGATTGGAGGGGGAGGGGAGGCGGCAAGGGGCCAGAGGGCGGTCGGTGGCAGAGGTAGCTCAGCGTTGGAGGTTACAGGGGTAGCTGTGGGCTGGTATCTTTCGGGAGAGTGGGGCCTGAGGGGTTGGCTAGGGTCCTCAGGTGACAGGACCCTTAAAGGACAGTTCTAGGCAGGCTTTGTTTCGAGAAATAAAGGATGGAAAGGAAGTGAGACGGCTGAGGGGCTGGAGGTAAAGGTGCCCACTGAAGAAGGGTAACTGAGCTAGAGGGGTAAAGGGTGTTTTGGCTTTAGCAGGTAGGATTCACAGGCTGGGGAGTTTTCAAAGAAGGTGATTGTGTGATCTCTGCTTGTAAGTGATGGTTTTAGGGGCTTTCAAGATTACTTCCAGGCTGTGGGCTTCTCTGAATCTTTTAAGGTCTTTAATATTGCTGTCAATCCTCTCTTAATCTTAACTTAAGTACATTCCATGCTCCTAAAACCTCTCCAGTGATTCAGATGATCATCAGACATCCAAGTGTAAGGATTCATTGATGTGACCATAATGGATAAGGGTGAATTTTTATTACTTATTTAGACTCTGGTGATTAGGTTACAATCGCAGGAAGCTAAAAATAAGATTTAAAAAATCTTGTTAATTATGGCCATGCAATTTTTAAAAATTAGATATATTTAATACACTAGTTTCAGGTGTAAAACATAACGACTGGATATTTGTAGATAATGTGAAATGATCATCACAGTAAGTTTAGTTAACATCCATCACCATACATAGTCACAGTATCCAGGATTACTTGGAAGGTTCATTTGGTCAAGTGTATTTTCACTCTGTCAATAGAAGATTTCAGTAAATTCTTTAATTTTAGTTTACAGAGGTATCACTTTTTAGAAAGTAATCATATGCTAGGCTTCTCATCCAGGATCTGGTTTTCGGACCTGATTTAACAGTAGATCAAAGGGTTCCATAAGAGTCTTAACTAATGTTGTGCCTCTGGGCTAGTCCAAATTAAAAAAAACCAAAAACTCGTAATTTGAAAGTTTTAATCTACTTTCTCTCTCCCTTCTGGTATAAGAAATTGTTGGGAAAGTTTCAGTCATTTTAGGTATTTTAACAGGGGGGGTCTCAAGTGAGAAATCAAACTTTTCTCCTATCCCTGATAATAATGGTCCATTATTTCTATCTTTTCTGGAAACAGATTGTATGAATGAAGTTATGGCTACAGATTCCCCCAGAAGACCCAGTCGATGTACTGGTGGAGTTGTTGTTCGCCCCCAGGCTGTCACGTAAGCAAATTTCAGATAAGCTTAATAACTGAAGCAAAGGTTACTCATTAAAATAACTGTCATTCAGTTTACACTTCTGAACAATACTTATTTTTGTAAATTTTTTAAAATCTAGGTATGATGGGATAATCAATATTATTGACAAGACCAAATAAAAGGAATTATTAGAGGACAGTGTTGATATATTCAGTGCATAAAGTATATAAAAGTCTCTGTGTTGAATCCTGAAGACCAATGTTTTTTTAAAATCTAGATTTAAGAGTTAGTGGGTTATGAAGTCAAGTTAGTGGATCAGGACTTCTGTTTTAAATATGAAATAGTATAATATAAAATATAAGGAGGAAGTATTTTCTGTGACATGTGGAAATCTTTGTATGTATATGTTTATTAGATTGTGTTATGAAATCTGTCTCTTTGGGTCACTTCACAAAGTTTTATAGTCAATGTCAAAAAAAGTACATTCTGCTTTTTGAGTATTCTTTAACAAAGTGTATATATATATATAAATTCTAAGAGCCTTTACTCTAAGTGGTTTTTAGGTATGTGTATTTGAAATCACTATAATCAATAGAAAAGATGTCAGCAAAACAATGAAAATTTAGAGTTAGTATTTTAGTGGAAACATTTTTGTATTTTACATCTGAAAACTTCCAGTAAGAAGCTAATTATATTATACTTTAAAAGCTGAATAGAATTTTGGAAATTAGAATTAAGAGTACATTTTAGGCAAAGGGAATAGAGTGAACCGATGTGTGCAAGGAAACTATTTTCATAAATGACATAGATGTTGACCTTTTTAAAGAAGTTTGAGTGGACAATTATGCCCCTTCAGTAGTTAGCTAGGGAGATAACTTTTGTTGTCTGCTTTTTAAAATACTCATAAGGGGATTATAATATTTTGGACTATTTCCCATGGGCAGTTTAATGTGCTACATAAAGGTTGCCTTCTCAGACTAACAAAAATATGCATGCTCTATTTTACCATAATATTTCCTTTTTCCCTTCCTGCTTTTCCTAGGGTTCTCTTTCTTTATCAACTATGGACCATGGCAACATGTAAAGCATGGTATTAGCTATGGGTTAGGTACTCTTTTAGTCTTCATTATACTGGCCAGGAAAACTAAACAGAGAAATTAAGTAAATTGTCTTTGGTAACAGCCAGGTAAGGGAAGCTGGATAAAACACAGGCAGTTTGTCTCTACAGTCTGTGTTCTTCTGCAGTATTCTGTGCTGCTTCACCATATGGTTCAACATATATTGCTTTTTGTTATGTAATACGTAATTTTGGTGCTTAAAAATATTTAAATTCATTTAGTGTTCTTTAAGTCATTTATATTTGTATGTTTACTTGATGTGTGACTACTGGGTTAAAAGGTTCTAGAGATATAAGGTAATACATACAGATGGATTCCTTCCTGTAATAGAGCTTAATTCTAGTTGGAAAAACTGAAAGTAGGTAATTACAGGCTTTGATCAGTGCTCAGTGTGCTGTGATAGAGAATGAGGATGGGGAATATGACTTAGGGCTCAGAAGGCTTCTCTGAGGAGCTAACACTTAAGTTGGAGATCTGAAAGGGAGGGAAGTATATTAAAAGGAATCCAGGCAGATAGCTGGTGCTTATTTGAGTCAAAAAAGGTTTTGACTGAAAGGAGAGCTTGGTATGTTCTAGGAACTAAAGAGATGACTAAAGCAGAGTAAGTGAGGAATGTGGCAAAAGAATGAGGCTGGAGAGGTAGGCTCAGTCAAAAAAAAATTTAAGGTCTAGTAAGTTTTGTGGATATCTATAGATACATTTCAAATTAGGTTTTTAGGGTAGCTCACATTATCTTCAAATGTAGTTTTTTACCTTTTTTCCCCCTGTAAATGAATTTGACTTGGTTTTTTGAAGAAATTGTTTTTTTCCCTATTTACTGATAGTTATTTACTTCCAATTTTAAAATATTGTAGTTTCCATAACGATTTCATTTTCCCCCTTCACCTTTATGGATTTTAATATTTTTCAATGTCTTGTGAGGATTTAAAAAAAAAAGATTTATGCATACAAGAACTAGGATACAGGCCAGAAGTGGTGATGGGAGGATGGTGAGAGGATTCACTAGAGACAGAGTGGGCAGTAGTACAGGCAGATTGACTGAAATACACTGCTAAAGGAGCAGTAGGTGAGACAGGAGAGGTCTGCTGTGCCATACGGGTCTCCCTGACCAGGGATCTACTTGTGCTACAGTGGCTGCAGATAACTTCATAGTGCTGCACTTTAACCCTTTGTGCTGCCAGGAGGACCCTTGTGAGAACTTCTTAATGAGTCTTCCCATCCCTGCACATTCAGCAGGCATAGAAATGAATACTGATTGACTTTGTTATACAGGTAAGGAACCTAGCTCATAATCAATTTCAAGAGAAGGTCACTAAATACTGAGTCATCAGCAACAGGTTTTCTTGCTGTAACTAGGGCATTCATTCGTCTGCTCTGACTCAAGATTAAGTCCTGCCTCAGCCAAGTGTTCTGTCATCATTCTTTCAACTACAAGTTAAGAGCATGACTTTTAAGAAGAGATAATGTTTAAAAATGTTAAAAGCTTATTTGCACTTACTAGAAAGCCATGAAACTAGAAAGCTGTGTGGCAGGACTATCAGGTCTTTTCCTTTTTTAATGAGTGACTTTTAGGGCTTCTAGAAAGAAGTTCCCTATTCATCTTAAGCTGTCATGACAAAATGTTTCCATTTCACCCTTTTTCAGGGAGCAGTCCTATATGGAGAGTGTTGTGACTTTTCTGCAGGATGTTGTACCACAGGTAAGTCAAGTGTCTGTGGTTTCAAAAACAGTAGGTTTTACCAGGGCAGCTCTGAAAAATGAGACATCCTGCACTCGATAGTCATATCAACTCCAGAAACACTTCTAGCAAGAAGCTTTATCATCTTGAGTCAACTATACTTGTTACTAGATTTGCCTTACTTTTGTGTTGACAGTGGTAAATTTATTATTCCCCAGGACATACTCTCCTAAGAGAAATCAAGATGAGACATTGGTTGAGAGGTGGAATTTGGGACTTTCTAGTTGGATTCTATTTCTAAGATCTTTAAACCTGTCTTAATAAATATTTGTTGCCTGTCTGAAGTGAGAAAAGCAGCATATACTTTGTATTTCATCGTTTTGATATTACATGAACTAAATACTATAGTGAGCACCCATCTGCATCTCTTACATACTGAGCAATATTTTTATGCCAAGACAGGATGCCTTATTACTCTAGCTTATAGAAGAGTAAGCTTCTTACTGCTGAAGAATAAGAGCAGCCGGACCTCCTTGGATCATCTCTTATGCACTGCTCCTTAGACTTAACATTAAAAATAATTACCAGGCCCCTCGCTTACAGGGCATTCTGTTACTTGTGTGTGTAGTAAGAATCTCAGCTGATTCTTGTGAAACAGTAGATTTTGAAACACTGTAGTAGAATTATTGAAAGGAAAAGATTTCTTTTTGATAATGTCAGTTTTCTCTTGATTGCCAGGGTTTTTGTAACTTAACTGTTCAAAAAGGACATTCATAGAACCAGTGTCCCAGCCTCCTTGAAAAGTCTAAAATCCATATTTCAGTTGTATTAAATAAATTGTTTCACCCAATAAAGGCAAGTGTCAAAGAATGATGGTGTTCCTTTATTATGTTAAGTCAGTTTGAAGGAAACTTGGTCACCAGAAGGAGAACTGTGGAGCATGTTAGGAAAAAATAAATGCTTTCCTTTCTTGAGAAACGTGGTTAATGAAGAGAGTCAAAGTACTTGAAACAACTGGAGAATAATAGCAGCCTATCCGTAAGTGTTACACATGATAGTACAGTCTGAATATTGAATTGCTAAGGGAGTCATAGCAAAGAAAGAAGTAAGAGTCAAATTCCCAAGGACATTGAAAGTAGCATTGCTTGAAATAGAAGGAAAGCCTGGCTATTTGATTTTGGAGGAAACTGGCTAACTGGTATGGTAGGCATCAAGGTTGCTCTAACTATAGAGCATCTTGTACTCTGCACAGAATGCCAGGTCTTGGAGAGCAGTGGGGGACTGAGATCTAGTTTGTTCTGTAAACTGCTGCTTTCTCTTAAGCCCTTAGTCCTGGCAGGAGACTGAAGTTCCAAGGGAAGGGTATTTTAAATTTTTTGTAATTTGCCTACTTCAAGAGTGCCTCTTTATCAACTTGTTACAAAAGCACTTTTTGTGCTAATGGAAACCTTGTGTAGCCAGCATTTTTTTGTTGACTAGAGGAAAGAGTCTTTGGGATACCCCAAAACTACAAACATCTGTCTAATTTTATGGGTAAAGTTTCTGACTTGCTTTATGATTTTACTTTCTGCTTTGAATTTTTAAGAATAACACAGATTTCAAGTTACAGAATAACAAACTTTAATACAATTAACTAAACCAGGGAAGCTGATTGGTATTCATTTTTTACTTTCAAGAATTTCTGAATAGTAACAGCATAACTAGTCTTTTGTCTTGTGTTGCTATTTTCCTGAGGCATTTTTATGAATTGGAAGATTTAAGAAAACAGTTTCTTCTCAGTTATGAATACCCTCTGCTCTATATTTAACATGATTCACATAATTCTTAACCTCTTCTTTATTTGTAGATATGCAAAAATGAGATTGCTCTTTTGCTCAGAATTTGGCATCCAGATTTAGAATTCTTTCTAGCCCCTTGTTAATTGTGCAGCTATTAGAATCAGCAATCCCATACTTAAGTGTAGTTTCATAGGCTGTGTAAATATCAGAGAACAGTATGGCTAAAGGATTTCTCAGTTATTAGTTTAGACCCAAATTAAACACAAACTGTATTTATGATTTTTAAAATTTGTTCTGTAACCAAGTGCCAATATTTTTCACATTGGTATTGACAACAAGAGCGCAAGGAGCACCCCATATATGCATAATGAATACTGGGTTTCAAAAAAACATGTATCTTAAATTAAGACTGTCACAGAAGACAGGAGAACAGTGTTTATCCATGATATGTAAAGAAAATGAATAGCCACTCTGTGGGAAAGCTCTTTAAAGTAGAAACTCATCTTTTTCTTTTTAACCTCCCCTTCACCAGAAAAGAAATAAGTAAAACTTAGCAAAGAAAATAAAAAGGAAGTTTAATAATGGCACATATATCTCATGTACACAAGAGAATCCCAGCATGACTAACTGATCCATTCATGTAGCTAAGATACCATCTTGATAACTTACACAAGACAAAGACTAAAGAAAGGTCACTTGGGGAGGGGACTGGGAGGGGACTGGGAAGGCACTGTAGAGAAAGATAGGCAGATTTAAGTTCTGCCTTCTCTTTAGAAAGGGGATAAGCAGATTAGATCCTCCCAATATACACCCTTACAGCAGTTTACTTGTAAATGTCTTTTTTATTCAAAGGCAGCCTCCACCCAGCCTTCAGAATCCCTCCCATGAAATCAGTATTTTGCCAAATACTCAGTTTAGGGTAGAAGTAACTTTTCTCCAGTGAAAAATTAAAACACAATTTAATTACAGTGATTTTGCTTATATCTTTTAAAATTCAACAATAACAGTGCTGATAAATGTATATAGGTGTTAAAAGTTAGATAAGGAATAAAAGGAAAAGTAGATAAATCCTGTCAAGAGTTGAGGTAAAAGTTATATAATGCTGGGCCTCCCTGGTTGCCTAGGGATTAAGTCCCAGCACTACCACCTGAGGGCCAACCACAGTGGCCTGAGTTTGATCCTGGCCAGAGAGCTGACCACATGGTACAGCAGACCTCTTCTGTTTTAGCTGCTGCTCCCCTCAGCAGTGTATTTCAGTTGATCCTCCTGTTCTTCTCCCTATTCTGTGTCTGGTGAATCCTCTCACCCCCTGCACCTCTCTCTGGCCTACATCACAGTTCTTCAACACAGGATAAGTAAAATCCAAAATAACCAAACCCATTCATGTTATGGTGCTATGAAGTCTTGACAACTATTCCTTCATTGAAGAGAAGTACAGCTAGTAATCAATGCTGAGGGAAAAACCACCTCAGACTCTTATGTGGCGATTCATTGACCTCCATAAGATAGCAGGTGAAAGCTGCATAAACCCTGTGCATCTCTGCCAAACTGAGAATAAAATCTCAAGATGGGTAAAGGAAATCATAAGCTGAGAGGCAAAATGACAGGCTTTCTCATGGGAGGAGCAAACCCACAGGAAGAGAGATCAGAAGCAACACTCAGATGCTTCAGTCATCTTCAGAGAATTATCTCACAAATGTTTAGTAAGGAAAAGCGTGTCAGTTAAAGAGAGGAAAACTTGAAGACTGAGCAAAAGCACACTAACTTAGTTGGGAAACTCGATTTCCCCCTGAACTGGAAAGAAAAGTTCAAGAATCCTAACACACTGAAAGGTCTCTTTCAAACTTATTTTATTCAGTGTGTTGCCCAGAACACAAGGTTGCAAAATATTGGGGGAAGTGAATCATACTGCAGGTGAGAAGCAGTTTTATAATCTGCTAAATTGAAGAACATTTTGAAAGATAATATTTTACAGGCTCTTTACTTAGTAAAAAAAGGAAGTTATTCAAATGTGTGTTGGCCTGAGTCAGATCATGGAGCAGACAAAGGACATTAGTGGTGAAACTGGTGAAATCTGAATAGTCTGGGTTAATGGTAATGTGGCAAGTTAGTCTTCTAGTTTTGACAAATGTACCCTGGTAAGGCAGGATTAGATTAGATAGGGATACCGGCTAAGTGGTAAATGAGAATTCTGTATGGTTTAATAATCTAGAATTATTCCAAAGTAGTTTATTTAAAATAAATTTTCAAGGATGAACATAGCAAGACTGCAGGAAAAAAAAAGATGACAGTAAGGTAGTTGAAGAAGATAAAAGTTAATGAATTAGTTGGTTCTAGTACAGGCTTTCTTTTATCCAGAGGAATGAACTGACCTAGATATGCCTCACTTATTTGAGGGTGGGGAATAAACCTCAAGGATGCCTAAGAACTTTTTTTGTATAGTAATCCTAGTATGAAAGTAACTCTGTCTTTTCATATTTTCAGTGGCCTTTAACACTTCGTATGGCATGGTGCAAGGGATCTGTAATTAGGGAATTTATAGTTGGTCATGAAACATATATGGCATGGTAGTTTTGTATGCTTTTGATATAGCTTATATTAAATAAGATTCTGTAATTTGAGTAATACTTTGTAACTGAAAATGTTACAGCTCTTTGTTGACAGTATTTAAAAAATTCAACAAAATCACTTACTGTATGGGAGATGACTCTCTTTAAGTGCTGATGAGTATTTTGGATCCTTTTCCTAGGCAGTTCATGCTTATCTTGGTGAACCTTGCAGGCTTTCATGAAGTAGGGTCCAGAAGCCAGATAAGAGCCTGAAAATGTAATCTTTTTTCTTCACACCTAATACTGGCTGTTGCCCTTTGCCCAGAACTAGAACTGAGAAGAAAGTAATACTCTAGAAAACTCTTGAGTGTAATTGTCTGATTATAAACACCTGGATAGTTTTGTTTATTTCTTAGACTTTATATTTGTTGATCAATATATAGAACAGTTTTTTGATGCCCTTGTATTACGTGATGCTTCATAATATTAGATTCTGATCATTGTATTTTATATTTCTGCTGTTCTTTAATAGATAAAACTCCATTTTTTGGACCAAGGTTATTGCATTCCTGGATAACTTTCTTGGGGGCAGGGGGTAGATGTTAAAAATTGTGCTAGTCCCAAGATGTAGGGTGAATAAAGTCAAAGTGGGGAAGAATAGGGTTGGTCTTATTTAATAAGTTATTCTTTGTTTAGAACATTAGTTATATTAGACTATAAATAAAGTATTTGAATTAAAAACATTTCTGTTTACTCTGCAGGCTTACAGTGGAACACCTCTAACAGAAGAAAAGGAGAAAATAGTCTGGGTCAGATTTGAAAATGCAGATTTAAATGGTACGGTTTTAACATTTTGGGACATATGAATTAAATGCTTTAGGTTCACTAGATACTAGATTAGCAGTCCTTTTTTTAGTCAGGTTACTTTTTATTACAGTAACTTTTTAGTTTCAAAATAAGTTCATCTTTAATATAAAAAAATTAATATAAAAAGTAACATAATCACACTACAAAAACATAGAACTCTAATGTATCATACAGGTCAGTATAGTACCTGGCTTTAAACTTTTAAGAGAGGGAAAAATTTTTATAGGAAAAAACATTAGTTCAGTTTGGTGTGTTTATAGGATTTCTAACTGCAAAACAGTCATTACTGTTTAATTCTCTATACTTTCTTTTTCAGATTTATTTATTTATGCATACAAGAACTGGGATCTAGGCCAGAGGGTGGGGGGGTGGTCTGAGAGGACTTACCAGAGACAGAGTGGGGAGCAGAACAGGCAGATCTACTGAAATACACTGCTGAGGGCAGCAGCAGGTGAGACAGGAGAGGTCTGCTGTTGCCATGTGGACCATGGGCTGGGGATCGAACTCATGATGCAGTAGCTGGGGATAGCTTTACATTGCTGAATCTTAAACTCTGTGCCACCAGGAAGGCTCTGGAATTCTCTACACTTTAAAATTTTTTGAACTGAATTTATGCCAGTCCAACACTTGTTTATACTCAGATAAAAATCCATTCATTGATTCTTCTTGCTCTTTCTCTTATAAGACATTTACCCCCTACAACACAGTGTTTCCTAGGCTACTCTGTTGCCTCTGGCTGGTTTGAAAAGCTCTGGTGAGAAATTGAATGGAGCATCACAGAAAGGGAAGAGTATTAGTCCCTCTTGTCCTTCTGTCAGCAGTTATGTTTCCCCAGTGGTCCTAGCTTCCCCTGGGCAGCTGCATTAGCATTAACATTCTGGTTTCTGCCAGATGACTCCAGTACCTTGCATCATGTAAGGGTGGTAATCAGTTCTTGCTGGTAATTCAGTAGATTGCTAAACTGTTCCATTTTTGACTTTTTAACTATTCTATTGTTTGTGTAAACAGTTCTAAATACACTGCATTCAATTCCCAATTCTAATACATTAAGTTGTTTTCATTTCCAGGCTGGACCTGGAGGGAGAGAATGCCCTCTGAGTCTTCATCGCCTCTAAGACCTAAAAATGTGATGCTTTATTTATTTATCTTTGGGAGCCACTGTTCAAAATGAGAGACACAGAGAATCACTTCTATAAATCTGTTTCTTTGGAATTCTCTTATTGGCTAGTACATTCAAATAATGCCAATGTTTGTTGGCTACTTTGTGAGGAATAAACATTCCTTTATGTGGATAATTATGACATACACTTTTCCTAGTCTTTTTTCTTTGAAAGCTTACTATATTTTTAAATTGGCTTTCTTTTTATGACTGTCCAATTTTGTTGTTTACTAGTATATCCTTCTTCCTCTTCATTCTTTTCTTAATTACTTTTTAAGCTTCTTGTCATCTTTCTCTTCATCACCTTTCCCTCTTGAAATCAGACATTTCTCCCCTTCCTTGAAGTAGTTCTTTGCTTTGTAGAAGTCAGTGTGTGTCAGTGGATTTTCTTGATTTAGTAACAAAGAATATGTGATTATGGTCTTGAAAAGGTTCATGCTAGATAATATCAAAAGTTTGTGGTACAGCATGTGCAAGATGTTAAAAATAATATTTAAAGGTATTGCTCATATAGGCAGTAATGAAATGATTTACAAGTCACAGAATTAACATTTTAAAAATGTCATCAAATAATATTTGCCTATGCATTTTCCCCCTTTTTTTTTAATAGCAAGTAAGAGTTGCTGGAATAATATTCTATAAAGCCTTTGCTTTATTGAATTAAAATGCATCTGGAAATGGATCATGCTTATGAATGACTTGAACACTTGGTGTCCCATTGAAGGGATAGTGGTTGTCCTTAATTTAGTGTCCCACTTCGCAGTTTTGCCAGTTGATTTATTAAACTTTTAAATTTATAAGTTACATATTCCGTGTCCTTTGGTCTCCCCTTTCTATGTCATATTGATAATGTGTGATATTTTGGTGTGAATTTTTATAGAAATACTTCTTACTCTCTATGGCCCTAGGAGTGTGTGTGTGCTTTTAAAGCAACTGTAAGGATATTAGATCATTCTTACTTCTCCAGTCTCTTAATAGACAGATTTCTTTCTTTCCTTCCTTCCTTTTGTTAAACAGCATTTCTTAACTTTGTCTCTTATTTGTGTTTTCTCTTAGACAGTTTCTGCTGTGATCAAGTCTTTGTATCATTGAAGTTCTGAGACATTTACAATTGAGTGAAAATTTGGCTGGGGAAGAAAAAACTAGGGTTCAAGTTCAGCATCACCTGAAGAAGGCTAACTAGGATTTACTTTGTATTGCTTGGGGTTTCATGATCAGCCAAACTACCCTTCCCTAATTATGCCTGTTGTAGCAACTAATGGGAGGTGGTGGGGGCAAAATATAGGGAGTGTCTGTCTAAGTGTATCTTCTTTTCCCCCAAACCTTTATATATTGACCAAATGGAAGCCCTGTTAGCATGTATGGAGGCTTCACTGCATCATTGGTTGAGAAAGTCATTAGCCATTTGCAGTCGATTCAACCCCCAGCCCCTCTCCCCTTTCTGGGTATGAGATTAGGATTGGAATTTTAACCTTCCATGCTTACTGATTTTCATAGTAACTGTATTCCAAAAGTTGCCTTTATTAATATAGAAGATATCTTTAACATCCCTAGTAACTATTGTAAATGAAGACCAAATCAGAATGAAAAATAGTATTTTTGGTTAATGATCAAACGATATATTTCTTGCAGGGTGTACAGATGTACACAGGTCTTTGGAAATAGGAAGTTTCTAGTTTTCTTGTGCAATATGAGCAGATTATCTGCTGAGTGATGGCAGGTTGGGTGGAGTTAGGACTTGGAGAAGGTTTAAGAAAGTAGCTGAAGAAACTGTAGAAAAAGTTTCAGGGCCTCCCTGTGGTGCAGGGTTGTCTTAGCACTATGAAGTGTCTGCAGCCACTGCAGCATCAATTCAATCCCTGGCCAGAGAGGTGACCCACATGGCGCAGCAGATCTCTTCTGTCTTGCCTGTTGCTCCCCTCAGCAGTGTATTTCAATGGATCTGCCTGTTTGGTACCCACTCTGTCTCTGGTGAATCCTTTTACCGCCCCCCCCCCATACTTCTGGCCTACACCCCAGCTCTTGTAATCATAAATAAATACAATAAATCTTAAAAAAAATAAGTTTCATACTAAGATATCGCGTGTTTGGGTTCAGCTAGGATTGAGGTTATGCTAGTTGGGTGACTTGAAAAGATCAAGATATAAGAAAATGCAGATTATTGACAAAGATTATTTATCAAAGAACATAAGGTGCGAAGAATGTACATTTAAGATATGTTGAAAGAATAGGGAGAAGGTAAGGGCATAGTAAACTAGAGGTGGTAATTAAGTCAGAGAGTAGATACAAAGGAGTAGCTGAGTAAACTTGCTGGAATATGAGGTTATGATCTGAAAATAGAATGTTTTAATTAGTGATTTTATTTTTATTCCTTGCCAGTGGTTTATAACACTGTATATGATTTAGAGGAATAGGTTCACACCCATGAGATTTATGTCACCACACACCTATCGCCAAAACATGTTAGTTTCATTGAGGCAACAGTGGTTTACAATATGATATACATTTTGGGGGGTATAGTCACACCTTCAGCTATATATTACAACTCAACACCCGCTACCAAAACACACACAATCCTTTACCATAGTCTATGGGTCTCTCATTTCCCTTTGGGCTTGATTTTTAAAAAAACCTTCACTATGCTGGTAATTATAAGTACTCTGTTACAAAATGAAACTTATTTTATGATCTTGTACACTTTTTATTGTATGTCATCTTCCAAATAGTGTGCACTTTATTGAAAACAACCTAAACAGTTTTCACTTATGGCATTAGAAGTCTTTTGTTTCCTTTCTTGACATGGTTTTTCTTTTTGTTTTATAATTTTCTGTTTGCTTTTGGCATTGTATCTTTAATTTGCTTATTTGTTACTTAATTCTACAATAGATACATCAAGAAATCTGGAATTTAATGAAATACATAGCACGGGCAATGAGCCACCTTTGCTGGTTATGATTGGCTACAGTGATGGAATGCAAGTGTGGAGCATCCCTGTAAGTATGAAAATAGCTAAATCCCCAAGATAGAATACTTGCAGCATGCCAGCTGATGTGAGATCAAGCCATACTTTCCTAAGGCCTCATCCATTTATTTCAAAAGCCGTTGCTAAGAGACTGCTCTGTGGCAACACCATACAAACCCAAGCAATAATGGGCAATGAAGGCTGCTGTGAGTGACTTGTTAGGTGGGTCGGAAATTGTGGGAATCACTTTAAATTGTAGGGCTCATGTTTTGTTATGGCAGCTCTTATCATCTAGACCTTATTATTTGTTTACCCCATTTTACAGAAGAGTAAGTGGGCTTACTGAAGGTAATCTTTTTTTAAATCATTGACCATCTTTTTTTTTTTTTTTTTTTAAAGATTTATTTATTTGTGCATACAGAACTGGGGTACAGGCCAGAGGCTCAGGGGCGGCGAGAGGCTTCACCAGAGACAGAGTGGGGTGCAGAACAGGCAGATCGACGAAGTACACTGCTGAGGGGAGCAGGGGGCGGGTCAGCAGAGGTCTGCCATGCCATGTGGTCACCTCCGGGGCAGGCGGGAATCGAACTCATGCGGAAGCGGCTTTAGATTCTCAGTGCTGTGCTTTAACCCGCTGCGCCACCAGGGAGGGCCCCTCATTGACCATCTTTTAAAAAAAATCAGTGATCTCTATCACAGGGGGCACAATTAAGGAGGTGTAAAGGACAAAGCAGTTTACTGCCATACCTGGACCCCATTTCCCTTACTGCAAAGCAACCAGCATATCTAATTCTTATCTGTCCTTTTTATTTTTCACTTAATATAAGTATTCAGAAAATGTCTTCATTGGCTATCTGTATAATAATTTTATTGCTTGGATGTTTGCTGATTTACTTGTTCCCTCCCTGTTAATGAAAATCTTAAATGTCCTGGGCTTCTTTTTTTGATATTACGCAATGATGTTATACATGTACTTAATCAAAGGTTATTTTATGTCTGTGTATAAATCCCACTTTTGAGAAATATTTTAAATTGCCTAATATTGGTCGCAGTTTGCTTCTTATAGCCTACATATTCCATTTTGGGATGACCTAACTAAAATGTCCTAAAAGAGGGAGAGGGGTGGTAGGATACCATCTCAACAAGGTATGGTAGGGATGTCACACTTGGCTTGTTGAACTTAGATTCCAAGTGTTCGGCATGGTGTGAATATACTGTCTCTCCAGTAACTGGCGGTTGGTCAGTCAGGAGACTTCTTCTGTGAGGTTCAGGAAGCTCAGGACAGATATCATTTTAATTTGTGCCTATAACAAATGAATTCCCCAGACTTGCTTGAATCCCCTTGTGTGTTTGTTTCAGCTAGAACTTTTTTGCTCTTTTGAATACTAAAGTTACTTCTTAGTAGATTTATAAGAAACATGTATTCCCTCAGATTTAATGGCATTCTGGATCTTCTTAAATTCAGACTTTGCTTTTATTGTTTTCCACTATTTTGCTTTTTGTTAATTTTTAAATTATTTATTTGCTTTTAATTTTTTCTTATTTTTTCTGTTTGAGAACAAAGTTTGGCTATAGTGGCATAAGAATTGTTAAGTAACAAGGACATTGGATTTCATAATTCTTTTTATATTTTAAAGAAAAAATCATTCTTTGAGTAATCACTTATGGTCTACTTTTGTCTTCCATTTAATCAAATGGTTACTTCTTTGGTATATTTCTTATTCGGTATTTATGATTTGGGTTTAAACTTTTTTCAAGCTGGTTGCATAGCTGACAGGTTTGTTTTTTTTAAGATTTTTTTTTTTTAATGCTTACAGGCCAGGGTTATGGTGGGTGAGAGGATTCACCAGAGGCAGAGTGGGAATAGAACAGGCAGATGTACTGAAACACATTGCTAAGGGGAGCAGTGGGCAGGTCAGGAGAGGTCTGCTGTGCATGGGTCAGCTCCCTGGCTGGGGTTCGAACTGGGGTTGCAGTGGCTTCTGAGAGCTGCATTGTGCAGAGCTTTAATCCATTGAGCCACCAGGGAGGGCCCTGTTCTTGTTTTTTAAAAAAAGTTTATTTTGCAGAGGTATAGGAATTCTGATGACACATCATGGAATTAGTGTTCTCTTTCTTTTGCCTTTAGGGTTGTGTGGTTGACATTTTTCAAAGCTCTGCATGCTGTTTGTAATTTCAGTATCATACCACAGGCAGGGACAAAGGACTTGCAGTCTGGCAATATTTTTTTGGTTTTTTTTTTCCTTCCTACCAAGAGAAGTCTTTCTAGGATGTGATCAGAAGGGATTTGTGAATGTGACTTCTTCTTGCTCATGGAGGCTATATTAGTGCGCCATTAGTCTGTTTGTTGACAGACTTGAAGGTGAAGAGGAAGCAAGAACTTTAACAAGAAGGCTGAGCTTTGTGTGATGAGGGCTGCTGACTGGACAGAGCACATTCCTTCAGTGGTACTCAGGCTGCCCACTTGTTTCAGTTATAATTAGAGGCATTACTTTGAAGAGATTCAAAGTGAACTTATATTTATCTGTGAGTAATTTAAAGGTCTTCCTCATAGTTTAAATTACTTCTTTCAGAGTAATTTTTATGCCCTTACTACATTTTCAGAGGCTTGAATAGTCTTTTCCTCAAGGAATTTTCAATGACTAGCTGTGTACTGTTCTTGTAGTCCTTTCCGGTCTGATCAAGAATTAGGAGGGGAAATAAGTTTCTTCTATTCCATCGATTCAGCTTTTGCTTTGTTATAGAACTGGGTATATGCATTATCTCATCTGTTGGGTACTGTGAGGTAGAAGTTGCTGCTCCATTCTGTATTTGGTACGTCATACTGCTTGTAGGAAGTGGAATTGGACTTCAGACTCAGTTCTGTCTGACTTTAAATTCAGAACCCATGAGCCAAGAGATTTACTTCATTATTCTCCAGGATAGCAGACATATATATCATGCAAGTAGATGAGCAGTTAAGTTTGAGTTTTCCTTGTGAAAAAGGTATGATGTCCCTTCCATAAGGAAGGGTGATTAATGCTAATGTTCTGGATACACAGGCCCCTTCCACCCATCTTTTAACAATGTCATTGCTGGTTTTTGGCAAGATTCTCTTAAAATCCTTAATTAAAAAACAATCAGGCCCTCCCCGGTGGCGCAGCGGGTTAAAGCACAGCACTGAGAATCTAAAGCCGCTTCCTCATGAGTTCGATTCCCGCCTGCCCCGGAGGTGACCACATGGCGTGGCAGACCTCTCCTGACCCGCCCGCTGCTCCCCTCAGCAGTGTATTTCGTTGATCTGCCTGTTCTGCACTCCACTCTGTCTCTGGTGAATTCTCTCACCCTCCACATCTCTGGCTTGTATCCCAGTTCTGTATGCACAAATAAAATAAAATCTTTAAAAAAAAAACAAAAAACAAAAAAAAACCAATCAAAGTGATTGACATATGTGGCTTAAAAGCCAATTAATTTTTGAGAGTCATCTGAAAAAAAAAACACCAGTTTTCTACTCTTTCTCACTTGTTCAATTCTGTTAGCTATTGGTATTTTACTATTTACTACAGGTATTTAAAAATATACTTTTTTTTTCTTCTCCTAGTCCTACACATAGATTGATTTGGTGCATGAACTTAGTGCTATGAGGACTTAAATGGTGGTCACTTAATACATGTGTCTAGGATAAAGATATGTATGTTAGGTTAGCAAAATAGTTGTGCTTTTTATGGTAATAGAGCTCATAGAGGTTGCAGTATAAAGAAAAGAGTAAGACTATAATAAGGAACTAGAATAACAAGTTAGGATTTTTAGCCTGATACAATGGAAAGAGCAGACAGTAATTCAGAGACACTGAGGTAGAAATGTTCTTTTTTCTATACTTGAAGATTGACTTAGATTTCTTAATATTTTTTTCTTAAAGAACATTGAAATAAATATCTTTATCAACCTGCAATTTAGAGATCAATGAAAAGTAGATATAATGGGCTCTCCCTGGTGGCACAGTGGGTTAAAGCACTGCATTATGAAGCTTTCCGAAGCCACTGGGAACGAGTTCAATTCCCAGCCAGGGAGCTGACACACATGGTGGGGCAGACCTTTCCTGACCCGCCCACTGCTCCCCTCAGCAGTGTATTTCAGTCTATCTGCCTGTTCTGTTCCTACTCTGTCTCTGGTGAATCCTCCCACCCAGCACAGCTCTGGCCTAAACCCTAGTTCTGTAAGCATAAATAAATAAATCTTAAAAAAAAAAAGTAGATATAGTAAGACTCTTGATAGATTTGCCAAATTGCATTCTTGTAATGTCTTACCATTTATACTTACTTGTCCATTTATTAATTCAGTCACTCAGCAAAGATTTGATTGATTGTCTTTTATACCCCAGATCTTGTTCAAGGTGCTAGGATAACAACTATGAGAGAAATGAAACCATTCTTGTGGAATTTCCATTTTAGTTAGGTGGGGGAGAATGAGGAAGATGATAACTAATAAACACATACTGTGCTAGATGATGCTAATTGTTATGGTGGGGTTGATGTTGTGGGTTGCTATAATATAAAGCGTGGTCTGGGAAAGCCTCTCTCAAAGCTTTGAGAGAAGTGGAGGGGTAATCCTGGTAAGGATTTGCGGGAAGGGCATTCAGAGTGTGCAGTCTGGTAGAATTATGTTTGTTATAGTCAAGATCAGGAAGGCAGTTTATCTGGAATTGGGTTGGCAAGGTGGTGTCTTAGAGGTGGTGATGATCTAGGGTTTTGTAGACTATTAGGAGGACTTGAGAATTTTTGAGTATAGAGAAAGTTAAAACAGGTTACAGTGAAGCTACAGATACCTATCACCTAGATTATAGCATTTAAATTTTATTATGCTTGTTTTTTTCTCAGATCTGTGTATCCGTCTTATTAGACAACATTTAAGTGTGAATTGCAAACACTTGACTACTTCCATTTTTTTTTAAAGATTTATTTATTCATACAGAACTGGGGTACAGGTGAGAGATGCGGAGGGTGAGAGGATTCACCAGGAACAGAGTGGGGAGCAGAACAGGCAGATCCACGA